AGCAGAATATATAGTAATAAGTTAGTAAAAACACATTATATTTTTTTTAATAAAATTTTTTTGAATCTTCAAACAAAAATAACTTAGCAAAAACTTAACTAAATTTAGTAAAATTTTTTTGAAATAAATTTTACAAGTTTCTAGAATTGGTTTAAAAAAAACTTTATAAAATTTGATTAAATTGTTGTTGAGTTATTCTTATTTAAAGTTTTAAAAAAATTTACTTGGAAAAAATATAGTGTGTTTCTACTAACTCACCTCTATATATAGAGAAAACAATTGTTGTATAATATTTCACAAAATCTACATAATTGAATACAAATCAATAAAGCAGATCTAGATCTAGTCATATGATTTTTCAATATATATATTTTGCTTATCTATTTATAAATATATTTCACAATATTTATATATTTAAATAAATTTATTTTTTTAATATACAAGCCAAAAGTATTATTATACAAGATAACTAGCAAGTAATGCTTTTGTATAAAAAACTTTGATAAAGATATAGTATTTTTTTATTAATAAAACTTTTTAGATAGTAAAGAAAATATAAGAGAACAATAAATAAATTTTTATTTTTTAATACACTTTTTACAATTTGTACAAGTAGTTTCTATTTATTACTTTTTTTTATATCATTATTTTTTTTCAAAATTTTCATCAAAAAATAAAGATTTGGTTTGCTCTTTCAAAAAATCAGCATTAAATAAACTTAATAGATTGTAACCATGTTATTTATTTACCTGCAAATATAATATTACTTTATATAACAAGAATCAAGATTAAAGAAATATTTGAAGATAGTCATATAGTTAGAAAGAAAAATAATATATTAAAGCAAAGCTTTACAATAGAGATATACAGATATTGTATTTGTTATATAATTTTTTAGACTTAGCATGAGCATTGTTAGTACTTTTAGTTCATCCAATATATTAGGCCTGAAAATAGCCTAAAACTTTATATTTTTTTTTGTTTTAGTTTTTTTTCTTGTTTTCTTAGATTAGTTTTTTGTTTTTTTTATGCTTCTTTTAGATTAGTTTCTTCTTCTGTATAGAAAAATACTATAGTTGCATAGGGTTGATGAACTAATTAGAGTTCTCAGGGGTGTTTTGCTTCTGGCACATAGTCGAATAATGTTGGTATAAATACTTTTGCCTTGTTTAAGGTTATATACAATTTTGTACTCAGGTATAAAAATTTAATAAAGGTATACATACACGACGAGTTACGCCAAAGTCAAAAAAAAAATTTTTTTTTTGCTAAAAGCTAAAATTTAACATAATATTTGCTTGAATAAATATATAAAAAATAATATTTAATATAAAATATACTATATACAGTACTATATTTAAATATTTTGCAAATTTTATATTAATTGTTACAATATACAGTATATTAATAAAACAAAAGCCCACTTTAATAGCAAAAAAAAAAAATTACTATTCGAAAATCAGTTGTACAACATATAGAAATATACATTGCATATATAGTTGATTTTTCTTTATCATTTCTAACCTAATTGTCGCAAAGTATGACTAAATCATTATTCTAAAACCCATGTCAAATTCCATCCATGACACATACTTAATTGTAATCCAAAGAAAGTTAACGTTCCCATATCATCAATTACCCATAGACTGCCATCACTAGTGTCGATATCATCATTATCACTATAATCAATATCACCAATATCAATAAAAATGTTCTTATTTTCACTCTCTTTCATCTCAATCTCAATTCCATTCAGTATAACTCTGTTAACTTTTCTCTTTAAGACGATTCCATCACTTGCGACCCTATTAATTCCTAGAATTATAATTTTATCTAATATAATACCATTATCGTATCCACACCAATTAACATCTGTAATTAAAGTACTTTGATTATATACTGTATATGAGATGTAAGTATACTTGTCTTTGACATCTAAACTTTCACCATCATCAAAATACAAAGTTCCTTTGGCACTTTTATTCTCATCCAATGGAATTATCAGATAATAATTCGTCTTCCTGCTTTGCGCTGTAGTCATTCTGGGGCGTTGCATTGGTATAATGTGCCCGCCTCTTAAATGTATTGGCATCTCATTTAAAGGTGCTTTGATATCAGTGTATATGCCTGAATCATCATGAACTTCAAAACTTACGTTGTGTGAATAAAAATTATACCATATTCCAGGTGGTATGTAAGCATCTTTCACTTCAAACTTTTGTGGTAACAATACAGGTGAGACTAATATTCCTCCTCCAAGCATAAATTGCTTATCAACTACTAATGCTGACTTAATATGCGGATATTCAACAAACAGAGGTCGTAGGACCATGGAACCATACGTGTGGGATTCATAGAAGAGTGTGTAGTAATATGGAAGGAGTGAATATCGAATACGTAGATATCTGCGGGACGTTGCAGCTACTGATGGCCAAATATATGGTTCTTGAGAACTTTCTAATAATGCATTATGATTCCTATTAAAAGATTTAAATAACATTAGCGATGAAAAATTTACATTGAATTATTGTCATGTAATCAAATTGTTGATTAACAAACAAACAAACAACTAGTTACCTCATGAAAGGATAAAATGATCCAAGTTGCATCCATCTAAGACATAGCTCTTCGGTAGTACCACCATTAAAACCACATATATCTGCGCCAACCAAAGGTATACCAAATATCTGTATATATTTTTATTGGAATTAGGCAACATATTAATAACATTAACTTTTGCATATTTATACTCACTTGAAAATTCAGAATACCAGGTATTGACAAATATAAATCATCCCACTATAAAGTAATAAAACCATTACAATGTTGAAGATCGCAAAAATGCTATATATACTACGGAAAATCTTAAACCTACTTTTGCTGAATTATCGCCTAAACATATATAGATATAAATATTAAAATCAATTTTCAACGATAAAAATCGATAACGTCAAGAGAAAACTCATAGTTTGCATTATTATACATCAAGATTTAACCTTATGGGGCTTAATTTTTAATGGTACCATTTAATTCTTGGTGGATTGCCAAATAATTATATGTTTTAGAATTAATACCCGAATTCGGATTTATAATAATACGTATGTATGAGTTGAGTTGCAATAAATCTGTAAATCCTTGTTAACGTAACCAATCACATAATGTACAAAACTAGTTAAATCCAGATTTAATTATTAAATCCGGGTTTAGTTATTAAATCCGGATTCAGGTATTAACTCTAATATGTTTTCTCTTAGCATCACACGCATATAACTACTATAATAATCTAACCTGTCCAATGCCCTGCATATTTTCCTGTACCAGCGAAAGTTGATCTCGTGATAATAAACGGTCTCTTTCCTTTTCCAAACCTTTTAGTCCATACTTTCCACGTTGTAATCGCTTCCATATGCCCATACAAATTATGTACATCATATTCTAGAAATCCATTTGCGTGTCGTGCGTCCATAGATAACGTAAGTGAATCTAATGGTAATCTCGCGCCACCATTGTCTATCCTATATGGTGGATTATTTAGATTCGAATTATACATTATAGTGGCTGGGAAAGTAATCGAGCCAGATCCGTTATTCAAAATATCATTAAGTTCCTGATCATTTGCTTGACCATAAGGCAAAATTTGGTCTGCAATGTTGATATCTGTGCATTCGCCTCTGCACCAACTTGCCGGCTCATTCATATCGATCCATAATCTACAGAATGTAGAAATAATTTTTTTTTTTAGCAACATATGAAAGTTATTAAACTAAAAAAACATGTCTATCTTACCCGTCAACATTAACATTATATAACCATTTCTCGATAGCATCCCCCCAATATTTTTCAGTATCTTTGTTAAACCAATCAGGAAAATTAGTCAATCCTATGTGATAGACAAGTTTGTTGGTAAGCTGAAACGCTATAGAAATTTAAATAATTAAAGCACGAATACAAAAAAATAATTATCCAAACCAGGCCAAACTTGACCGACTATATTTTCTCCTCTTGCATTTTTAATAAAAATGTTTCTCTTGACACCCTCATCATATGCCCAATATCCATGTTCAATTTTTATACCAGGATCAACTATGACCACATAATGTTGATCATTCTCATGTAATATATTTACAAATTTGGCAATTTCTTCGCGTGGATAATTTATGGAATTCCAAGTAAAATCTTTAAATCCTTCCATGTAATCCAAATCGTTCCAAATTGTTTCAAGAGGAATTTTGTGATTGCGGAATTCAGAAACAACATTATAGAGGGTTGATACCTGAGTATATTATTGAAAATTTCAGAAATATAACATATTTACAGTCATCACAGATACTGATTACAACATACATTATGATATCCCCATCGACATTGATGATAGCCGAGAGCCCAATATGGTGGTAATGCAGGTCTTCCTACCAGCTTATAAAGGTGTGTTATAAAGTTGAGACGTTAATTTAAATATTCATTATTCATTTAAACAACATTCAAATAAATTACCTCTGTATATTGTGCGATCACATCTGCAGGAGTTGGACCAAGAAAGAAGTAAAAATCGAACACACCTCCAATCACTAAATATTAGAATAGATGAAATTTAGTACTATTATACTCGGCGAATATAAAATAAAAGATAATAATTACCTTTCCAATTCAATTTAGAAGGATTCCCTGGAATGATTATCACATCCATTCCGTTAGAATTTCGTAAAAACTAATTTTAAAGTATATGAAAGAATATATATATATATATTAATGTATTATTATAATCTTGGAATAATTCACGTAGTAAATAAGGCAGCGATTTCAATTCTTACCACGCCATGCGCAGTGCCATTTCGTATTTCCATATAAAATGGTTGGTCACCGTATACTATACGCAAAGAAAGAAAAGATGCTTCGCAACGCGTGATGATGTATATACAAGATGCAAAAAATTAATATTACCGTTTTCATCAGTAGGTGTTGCAGCGTCTCTATTCTTTGTAGCAAAGAAGTTAGTTAACGAATATGGGTAAAACGGATAGAACAAATAATAGTTAAGATACCCATAATGTTTGGAAAGTACCACGTGGATCCCTTCGCAAAGGCCGAACTACTTCACCGAGTCCAAATATATTAGGATCATCTGGTAGCTATTGTAAAATAATAGATCTGTTAAACTGCATATATAATGAAACTATTAATTGCAGACAACATACTTCGAATGTTATTTCTAAATATTGGTCCTCGAACACCAGTGAATCCACTCCAGATACATTAGTATTTATTATTTGTTCCTGATTTGAAGTGCGCACTACCGAAAATGTAAACGGATCGGTTTTATATGAGAATTGATAAAGAGAATCACTTTGGGTTGTTTGGACTGGCTCGATTGACGAAATTGGAACAATGTCTTCAGGGATCTCATATCTTGATTTTGTTGGATCAAATATTTTTAAATGTAGTCGATTCGCAGTTTGGTGCTGAAAATCAATGTATCAAATCAATCAACACTATAAATTTAATTGATAACCAACTCGCATATCAAAAAAAAAAAAAAAATCCATACCTCAACAAAGAATTTAAGTCTTTCCAGGTCTGGTCCATAGTTACCGCACCCCTCCCCCCTCAGTTCCAAATCACCACTTATGTACTTTTTAGTCTTTTTTGAATTGATAACCTTATACCCACTACAAGGTCTTGCTCTATAAAAGCAATAATTTACACCAATAGCATCTTCCCGTGGATCCCAGCAACAATTCAATTTATTTTCACATTCATCCTGTTGTATTCCAAGGTATCCACAATCCACCCTCGTAGAAGGATCAACATTACACGTATATTCAGGACCTTTTTTGTAAAAACACCAACTATCATTTGAAGGTTTCCAACAGCAAAAACGCGCTTCACATTTTTCTTTCGTTATACCAAAGTATCCACAATCTTTGGATGGATCAGATAAACTGCAAGTATCAATCTGGAAGTCACTATAACCCGAAATTGTTGTTTCATTGAATGTTATTTGTAATAAAGACTTTATTCGCGTAAATGCCTCATCCTTAAAGATAGGTGACCATAACCAAATGTATATAAAAACTGATGGTATTAAAAAAAATAACAAAAAAGTCTTTGCATTATTAATCGTAAAGACCAACATTTTTTAGAATTCGTGTAGAGAAACATTTTTGTTAAAAAAAACTTTAGGTTAAATTTGATTGGCTGTTGTTTGATGTTCCCACGGTAATTGAAAACTTCAAGTTTCGCGGGAAATTTATTTACGTAATTTTAACTATAAGACCCGAGTAAAATTCATGGGGCCCATGACTTTGAAAATCGGGTACCAAATGTGGCAAAAAAAATTAGAAATGACAATTATAAAGTATAATGGCGCAAGAGGGTAATGTGGCGCATTAAAAATAATTCAAGAAACCAAGAATTTTAACAAGTGAATAGAATTTCGTCTACTAAGGTTATTGGAAATGTCGTTTTTTTTTTAGATACCTTCAAATTTTGATAACTTTTCATTATTCAACTTTTACGTTATACATCTTGGCAAGAAAAATTCAGTTTTTGTATCAAAAATGTATAACACGAAATTTGATTAATAAAAAGTTAACCAATCAGACCAAAATTTGAAGATATCTAAAAAACGACACTTCAAATAACTTTACTTAATAAAAAGTCGTGTTTTCTAAAGAAAATTGATGTTCACGTATTATAGTCAAGGAATATCGATATACTGTACTATAATAAAGTATTAGGAACGATGATCCGTCACGATTTAAAATTATTTTATTATCAAAGTTTTAAGTTTAATTGAAGTACTGTACTCTAGAAAAATTCTATTACCAGTTGTTCTTAACTGCACCATTATACCTTATATATAGTATTAAATCAAACCATATGATCGTTATCTGTTACGTATTAAAATTTTTAATCACATGTATGTAATGCAAAGATCCTAATTAGCTACGTAATAATTAAAAATCAAGCTAAATCCGAAAATACGACTCGTATTTTGGTTAAAATCGGAGTTCAGATTTCTTATTGCATTTAAAACTAACTAATCAGTTACCTGTTTCTTTGTTCGATTTACAGTTATTCATTAATCGGTTTTTATATAATAAATACGTGTATCGGTATACGAGCAGATTGAGTGTATCGCTAGTGTCAAAAAAAAAAGGTGTTCAATTTACAACATAATGACATTAGGCCACATAAAGTTAATTAATTGTTTCTCATAACATAAAACTTACGAAAGTTGGGTTATGAGAACAATCAATTAATTTTAAATGACCTTATTATATATTTAATTATTCAAGCTTTTTTTTAACATAGGCTAATGTATAAATAAGGGCACTCAATTCCCGTCTTCTTATTGTACCCGGGTAATCATAACTCATCCCTGATAAATCTGGTCAATTTAATAACACCCTGAGTAGAAATTTTCTCAAATTTTCTCAACGAGTACAATTTCTACAGTTAGGCCGCTCCCGTTTTTTAAAAATTTACATAAAAAATCTACACCATATTAACCAATCAAATTACAGTATTAGCTTTTTGAACTTTTATATTTTCTATGGCCAATAGAATTACTGTATTTTTGTATTTTTGGTGTTGTTTAATCCCCCTTCCCCCCTCTTTTACGAAATAATTTTTTTATGTCAAAGAATCTACTGTATTAGCAAATTCTGGATGTTGATTTGTTATTCTTATTGTCAGATCATAATTAATAATTCCATTAATTGAATTCATGTATCCAAATAAATCCGTTTTTTAAAAAATTATTTACATAAATAGAAACTTTGCAATGTCGATATTATATTGCCGTGGGAAAGTACGATTATCAAAAGCGCGTGAAAATCATTTGCTTTTGAACTCTTTTGGGACGAATATGGAGATCAATAAAAATTAAAAATCATGAAAAAAATATATATATATATATAAAATCTTTTAATGTTATTACGGTTATAATAGGAAAAAAACCCCCATACTTTTATTCATCAAAGTGTCAGTTTGGGTATTAATAATAATGGTAAACAGTCCAATTCAATTAGCACCTCTAAATGTACCATTTGAAAGACGAATTCAAACAGCGACCGTCGCTCTTTGGCTCGTTTCATTACCTTTAACACTATTTATTTTCCTTATATCATGTACAATAATTTTCTTATGGCCTTTAATTATTCCATATTTATTATTTATACTTTTCGACATCGCACCAGAAAATGGAGGTAGAAGATTTGAATTCGCTAGGAGAGCTAAATATTGGAGATATTACGCAGATTATTATCCTATTAAACTGATAAAGGTAGTATTTATTTAATTTTCTCTGTTTCAAATATTTAATTCTCGCAAAATTTTATTAATCCTTTGAAAATTTTATAATTTATAGCGAGTTGACTTGGATCCATCAAAGAACTACATATTTGGTAGGTATTTTTAAAAAAATACGTTATCTTTGAAATGACATTCATTCGTAATGTAACTCTTTTTTTTTTTTTTTTAATAGGTTATCACCCACATGGTGTTATATCCGTTGGTGGTTGGATAGCTTTTGCTACGGAATCAACTGGGTTTTCTAAATTGTTCCCTAATATTACATGTCGTATGTTAACACTTACAAGCAATTTCAATATACCGCTTTATCGAGATTATCTTATGGCCCATGGTCTCGCTTCTGTATCCCGTCAGTCTTGTATGAACATTTTAAAGAAAGGTCCTGGACATTCTATTATGATTGTTATTGGTGGCGCTGGCGAAAGTTTAAGTGCACGTCCTGGTGTTAACGATCTAATTTTAAAAAGGAGAATGGGCTTTCTTAAAATAGCTATTGTTAGCGGGTGAGAGTTATAAAAATACTGTTCATCATATCTAATAAGTATTATAATGTTTGTCGTTAGAGTGTAAACCATTCATTGCCTTTTTTTATTAGTGCATCTTTATGTCCTGTATTTGCGTTTGGTGAAACTGATATATGGGATCAAGCTGACAATCCTGAAGGAAGTGCATTATGGAAATTCCAAAAATTTGTGCAAAAATCAATCGGTTGGACAATGCCACTATTTCATGGTCGTGGTTTATTCAACTGTAAGTTATTTTAATAACTTATGAATATTAATTTTCATATTATTGGTAAATGTTAATAATTTTGTTTCTAGATAATTTTGGTATTTTACCACATAGAAGACCTATTGTTACAATTGGTATGTTTTTAAATTTTGTCTTTTAATATTACGAGTAATACTATTAACCCATTTTCTTTTGTTAACGAAATAATAGTGGGAAAGCCTATTGATGTTGTACAAATTGATAATCCTACTGAGGAAGATTTGCTTGAAGTACAGAAAAAATACATTGCTGGATTATATGAGATTTGGGATCAATACAAAGATGTTTATGCTAAGAATAGAAAACGAGAATTAAAACTTATAGAATAACCTTTCCATGAAATATAAGAACGTAAAACCAATTAATAACAATAACAATAAATTTAATTAATAATTATATAGCTAAGGCCATACAAATTTAATTATTTGGTTTTCATAACATGAAACTTTTAAATGGATCCGGCCGGCTTTTTTTAAATTTCATACATAAAATTTTATAAATTTATATATAAAAACATATATATTTTTTTTATAAATTTTCAAATTTTGACCCGGCTGGGTTATGAAAACCAATTAATTACTTTCGTATGGCCTAATGATAACGATAGTTAGAAACAACCAAAATTCCCGTTAATAGTATTTTGATAGAGATAATTCAAAAATCACCTACCGTTAATAATACTTGATTTACCACTTCCTTTGTAATAAATTGATTTGTTTTTTTTCAATAAAAAAAATTTTTTTAATTTTCTATATTAATATATTTATTCTACAGTATATAGGCAGGTTTTGAGATTATCTTCACTATATCGAGGTTTTAATATCAACACTGAAACAAACTATTATAGTTGCTTGGCTGAAATTTTTGTGTATCAGCTTTAATACCGCAATAAAAAGAATTAATGCACATTCATAAAGAAATTTTTACAGGATCAGCATTAGAAATAGTAGTTAGCAAATTTTATACGTAGCAAAATTATCATTAATAAAACTTTTAGCAATTCTGTACGAGTTCATAAAGAAACAAAAAAGCCAGATTTGGAAATCACGCTAATCATAATGTACTACGTACAATATGGACACTCTAGTGCGAATATTATTGGTCAACGAAGTCACGTTTACTGTGATCTGTGTAACATATAAATATCTGATATTCACGCGATTTAAAAATTTTCAGTAAACAATATTTTCATATCAAAAGGAGAAATGGCAACTCGTAGAGTTTTAGGCGAGTCGAATATTCAAAATCTACCCGAGCAAGGGCAAACTGTTGCACAAAGAAACAAAAGAAGTATTTCTACAAAAGAAACTGACCGAAAGGTTAAAAAAACGAAGAAACATGACGAACATGAATCTACGAATATCTTGGCGGAAATCCCTGATAAACACATTACTGAAATTATTGATAGACACATTAATGAAATTACTGAAAAAAAATCTCTCTCAGAACTTTATAAAAGCCAATTTTCTCTATGGTATCTCGAGTTAAGGTCCGGATTTAACATTTTACTTTATGGATATGGTCCAAAAAAGGAATTACTTGAAGACTTCTCTGATGCCTACCTTAGAGACCAGCCACTTATTGTGGTCAATGGATTCTATCCGAAATTAGATGTTAGGGAGACTCTCATGCAAATTATTGATGGAATCGATATTGACGTTGATATTAAGCCTGGAACTCGTGCGTCTATGGAAAAACTGACGACGTTAATCCGAGAATATTTTTCAAACCCTGACCGGGATTTTCAACGCTTATATATAGTGATTCATAACATTGATGGTCAAAATCTTCGTACTTCACAAGTGCTGGATTGTCTTGGTACCTTCGCATCTTGTCCCAACATTCATCTTGTTGCTTCTGTTGATAATTTCAACGCAACTTTGCTCTTTGATCAAGATCGAACAGCTATGTTTAATTGGGTTTGGCATGATACTTCCACGTTTGTATCAAATGAAAAGGATGTAAAATTAACTGATGATACTTCCACGGTTGTATCAAATGAAAAAGAAGTAAAATTAACTGATGATGTTTCCACGGTTGTATCAAATGAAAAAGAAGTAAAATTAACTGAAGATGCTTCCACGGTTGTATCAAATGAAAAAGAAGTAAAATTAACTGAAGATGCTTCCACGGTTGTATCAAATGAAAAAGAAG